AGTGCAGTGTGCTATCTTCACCCTCCTCCCACCCCCTGTTTCAGGCTGGGAGGTGCATTTTATAACCAGTCCTATCTGGGAGACATCTCCAGGAAAGCTTCTCCTTCACAGCACCCAAGTCACTGCCCCAGCTCCTACCTGGGGAAGGAGCCTGAAGGATATTCCATAATTTATTCTGGGATTAAGCCTTCCTCACCTTGATTTCCCTGATGGATGCCTCTGTGTCAGCTGAGATGGACGTGTCCCCACTGCCTCTCCGGGAAGAAGTCCCACCCAGAGAGGCCAAGGTAGCTGCTGATAAACTTGAGACAGTTCGTGCTCCCTGAAATCACACATGGATAAACTGCTTAGAACTTTCTTGTCCACAGAAATTGTGGGTTTATAGCTTTCCCCTTTTCTTTTTTTTTTTTTTTTAATGCACACATTACACTAATCCTTGCACTTCTAAATTATGCACTTTGATTAAAATCAAACTTTCTAAGAAGTAAAAAATCAAAATCAAGATTTAACAAGGGAAATTAATGAGAAAAGGCAGATCAGAAGTATTTAAATAATACTGCAATAGAAGTTTGAGTAATTTAGCTTCTAACTATTCATTTTTAATTGGAGAAAGTCTTTAGGGGCTAGTATCAGCCTGCCAGACATTTTCAAAACTTGTAATAATACATTCTGTGGAAGCTTTGGAAGCTCCTCTCCATTATGGATATTTATTTACTCTGCAGCAGTGGCCACATGAACTGTTAGACTGTACTCAGGGTTAATGTAGTAGATTCCTCCTTTATTATTTATTTATTCTTACATAAATATCTTGGGTCTTATAACTAAGATCTAATAAACACACACAGTGTTTGTGTGGCTTAGCCTAAAGCAGTTTCAGCCAACTGCTGTTGAAGGTCAGCTATTTAACATCAAGTAATCAGGGGCTGAAAAGTTCATCTTCAAAAATGCTGTAGCAGAAGGCTCCAGAAATTCAAATTTTTGCCTCACAATGGATTTTATAGGAGATTTCTGTATACTCATAGGAGCCCATTGAAAAGAATGGGCAAAGCACTATTGTCAGAATAATTGATAGATCCTTCTTACCTTCTCAAAATCTTTTTCTGGCCTTTCCTCAATCTGTAAAAGAGAGATTAAGAAGGAATCATTAATAGAATCAATAAAGGGTAAGAGAAAGCAGTAATATACCACAAATGCCACCACATCCCCCCATCCCAAAAAGCAAGGTATCAAGTCAGACTTGAAATTCAAAGTTTCAAACCTGTGGTTAATATTCCCCTCTCAAGACAAACAGGGACTGCAACTCCAAGCAAAGATCCTAGACTACAAAACTGACCCTCAAATCAAATATCAGGGACCAGTCCAAAGTCTAAATAAATGGCTCTTTTAGGGTTTCAGTACTTCACTGCAATTTACTAATTTACAAGAGAGATTCTCTACTAAAACTAGTCTAAAAGTACCCAAACAGTGAGAAAGCAGAATTTAGGAGAAATTTACCATGGATGCAGACAGCTGAAGGGTTTAAAAGTTACAGAACATCTCCATCTAAAATGGAACTAGGTGTAAAAAGGACTGAATGAAATTTAAAATTCAGAATAACTCAACAGAACCTGAATTCTTCTTGGGACATTCAGCACAGTCAAGTTCCCAAAAGACTCCTAGAAAATTAAGTCTTCCCCAGACCAAGAGGAGCCTAATTCTGCCAAAGGGAATGGTGTTTTTGAAACTACTGGAAAAACAATCAGGGCAGACCTGATTCAGGGAAAGGCAGAGCATAGCTGAGGTTATGCCCTGAAGTGTGTTCTTCCATTGAAAACACACTCAAAACACACTCAAAACCTACATCTCTTCCTAATCAGTACACATTTGGCACAGTTGTTTGGAGCTTTTTTTATTTTATTATATAGAACAATACAGGGATACTTTCACTTCATATTACCTATGCAACCCTATTAAAAAAAAATCTCAGAACTGTGAGGTAGCTGTTACAAATCAGCTTTTTACACTGACATCTCACAGCTAAAATCCCTATGAATTAGCATTAAGAAAACTTAAGTTCGAGGCTTCAAAGTAAAATAAGCCAGACTTAAACCACTAGATCTAAACTTGCAAAGGCAGTGAATAGGTAAAATATTTAGGGGAAACCCCCTCAAATCTCTGAATTTGGAGGCAATAAGAGAGGGTCATTAATGAAGGCAGACAATTTAGCTCAGACCCAATGAACAAGATGGACTGAATTGTGCAAACAGCTTTTTATTTTCATGCCAGACAGCTCCAAGTGCTGGATCTGGCAGCCTTCTAGCCCGGCCAAGCACTGTGTTGTTGTTCATCAAGACAGCTGTGGCAGTGTCAATAATGGCATGTGACAAAAGATTTGTGTGTCCACAAACATGTACCTCTGGAAATCTGTGTACAGCCTTTGCAAAGATCTGTCTTACAGGGCACAGCTCAAAATACTTATTTTGTTTCAGCCACTTGTACAATGGCTTCTATTTTCTGGAACAAAGTGCAATCTCAGTTTTTAGCAAAATAAAGAAGGGAATAAATATTGATATTGTTTTAATGATGCATCACATGAGTCAAATAGAAGCTTGCATTTACAAAGGGGAATGTTGAAGACAATGTGGTGACACGACTACAGTGTTTCTACTCACAGCACTCATAACCACACCTGTGAAGCCTGCTACACCTTTATCGCAAAACTATCTTAAATAATGAGTCTAATGGGGCATAATCTCTAATAATGAAAGCTATTAAGTAGCCTCTAAAACTGAGCTGGTTAAGGAAACAAACCAGATTTCATCTTCAGCTTTCATCAGCTCAGTGCCATGAATGCCATACTCAGAGCAGTTTCTCCTCAAAACTAGTAACTATCCCTAACAATTTATTTAAATATTAACACTTAAAAATGCAATCAGTTTCGAGAAAAGCCAGTTCTTCTCACCCAAATAACATCCTTACAATACACAGATGCCTCCTGACACACGACACTTTTCTAAGCAAAAAGTCAGGCTGAAACAAGCAGCATTTAATTTTATGGTTACACGGCAGTGATACACCAAAATCTGTTTAGTAGAAAGAGAGAAACCTACTTTAGATTAATATTTTATACAGCTTTCATCGTGCCCATGTTTAGGTTAATGTATTCACAGTACCCTTTAAAAAGATAATTTTTTCCTAAAGGAATCAGCCACCAGAGGGACCTCCAGGTTTCCAGCCTTCCCCCAGCCCCCCCCACAAGCCCTCTGGCAGTTGATTCAGCAATAAATGAAACAGAGAAAGGTCAGGAGAGAAATGTTTATGTTTATTTGAAGTTGTACAGAATTCTTGCCCAAAACACTTATTAACATTCAATCAAGAACACTGCAGTTGTTAAATAGGCTGAAAAGAACTCCACCTTCACATGTGCTCAGCACAGCCCTTCATAAAAATAGCCTGGCTCTGGGACTTTTCCACCCACAAACATCAAGGACTGATAGAATACTTGCTAGAAAAGAAGATTTAAAGAGGGATTCACCTAATGGTACCTTTAATTTCCACAACACTACCATTTTTCATTTGCACAAGGGTATGGGTCTGTCTCTAATCACAGATTATCCTCCTCTTCACCAATAACTGGGGCAATTTGTACTTCAGTGCATAAAAAAGCAGGAAAAGGAAGTAATTTTCCGAGGAACTCCAGCATGTACATCTTTGTTTTGGCTGCTCCCTGCAAAATAAGTGCAGTGGGATCAGAGTTCAGCCTCTTCTGACAGCAATTTCGGAATAAATCCAGAGCCACATTACAAAAATGTCAGCAATATCAGAGCTCAGCACAGCTGGAAACATAATGTGAGCAAGATCATCCCACAGGCCTTTATATGGCTAAAGTGCCTGTTTTCCATGGATTAAAAGGGTTAACCCTTTCGGGGTGAAGCTCTTTGCCACCAGTGGAGTGTCCAAAATGAGTTCTGCAGCACTACCACAGAGCATCCAATCAAACACTTACTGCAAGTACAGGGATCATAAAATCAGTGAAAGACCTGGACTGAGGCAGTTTCCAGCTTCCAGGCCCTGAACAAGGCCAGGGAAGGGAAGCCTGAATTTTTCTGTCTGTGCCATGTCCCATGCTCAGGTATCAGAACAATTTCAGTGTTCAGTACGTGGCTGTCACTGCTCAGCTCCAGCTCAGCTCTTGAACTCAGCTCAACTTCCTCATGACAGTAAGGGGGATTTTTGGTGACAAATCAAATTAAGATCATTTCCTGCCCTTAAAGTAGCACAGCACAGCTTGAAATGGAAATATGGGCCACAGCAGAGAAAAATTATTAGGCTA